AGAATTAAACAAACTGACAGGAGCAGGTGGCAGAAAAGAGCGTGAAAACAAACTACAACCAACAAGTTTCGCAAGTTTCCCGAAATGTGCAGCCACTGGGGATCGTCGAAAACCTGGAGTATGGGGGTTTGATAAGATCCTCCATGTAACATGTAGCAAACACAAATAAGTTTAGTTCTTTTCGAGGGATCTATCATTTGATGTTGTGTTTATAGTCATGATTGTGTGTGTGCGTATGTGTTTTTTTTTTTCTTCTCTCCTCTGCTTGGATCCCCCCGGGACCACTGTGAACCCGAGCAAAGTCGGTTAACAAAATGAAAGCAAATCGATATTAAAGTGTGCAGTTCCTATCATAATGAAAACTCGTTTTGATTTCAAATGTTGCGACATAAGTCTGATATCATATTGTGCTTTCATTATGCAGTCAAGACGTTTTAAATGAAAGCAACTTAACTTGAAGTTCTGCTGTTTACGTCTTGTTTAAAATTTAATTGAAATTCATCTGTCGTTGAACTAATGATTATCGTTTATCTGATTTGTTTAACACATTTTAGGTCATTCGTGACTTGCCCGTGGTGAGATTGGAGCCTAAGTCTTTCAGCTTGAGAAACATGAATGGTAACCATTTACTCTAGGCCCGTATTCAGTTAAACATTATGAATGCAAAATCAGTAATCAAATTGATTTCATTGAAAGCAGGATTAGTTTTCCGTTTGCTTCAACAGTGTAAAATTTTGCTCTCATTTTTGCTGTGTTAACCGTTAAGTCAACCAAAATGAGATCAACTGGAGTATTCAAAATAAGTTACATCATAACAGCAAATTTTGATTTCAATTTGATCTTCAGCTTTGCTCGGGAAGTGACTACTTCAGGGGGTAGCTATGCTAATGAACTTTTCATACTCTCTCCATTTACGCTGCAGCTCCGACATAATCTGCGTGACTGCCCTGCTGACGGCATTCCAAGTGCCCTCCTCTCAACACATTTCATCGACGATATTTTCCACGTTAAGGACGGGCATCTCCCTTCGCACTGCTTCGAACCTTGGACAGTCGAAGACCACATGCTCCAGCGTTTCATCCACGGCCACACTCTGGACAGAAGGGTGACGCTGCGTGTCCGAACCGATGCAGGTACTTCCAGAAGCAGCCGTGGCCAAACAGGAACTGCGTTGGTGGAAGTTGACTTCTCCGTGTTTTATGTTCACCCAGGTCGAAAGAACTTTCCGTACTCTTGCGACTTCTCTCCGCCTGTAGCACTCGCTGTCCTGCAGGGTGATGCCGATAGGGATCATACCGGCGATAACATACTGCTTCCGACGAGATGGCTATATACACACTTACGACTCGCACGGCCATGAACCGGAACGTACTGCTCAGTTTCCTTTGGTTCTGCTTCGTTTACAGTGCTGCAACCCAGGTTGGACCTCCATACCTCAATATCGACGACGACACACTGACCAGAAGACGCCTCTTGCTACTGCTGGGACCTGTGTTTTTCGGTATGATTCTAGCTATCGCGTTGATGGCCTTCGAAGCCTTCTCACAGGCATATTCGACGTGGCTGTTGAAGTGGCGTGCTCCCCGACGGTGATTTCTGCCAGCTGTACCGCTTTACAGTTACTGACCAATAACACTTCCGTTTTGTGGTGGGCTATCTGCAGCTTCGCTCCTTGCATCCAGTTTCTAATCATGTCGATCGCCTCGGTCACCAACACTTCCACCTCTTCCAGCGTCTCGCCGATTACCATCAAGACGTCGTCGTCCGCAAAGTCAACGATCTCAACTCCTTTGAGCAGCTTCAGCGTTCCAGAGCGTTGGACTAAGGATGGAGCCATTTGGAACTCCCGCTGTGATCCTAATCGATCTCTGTCCCATGTCTGTCTCGTAGACCAGAACCCGGTTATGGAAATAACTCCTTTGGATCCTGTACAGGTAGTTAGGGACTCTCCTTCTATGCAGCGCTTCGGCGATGGCCTCCCAGCTGGCGCTGTTGAGCGCATTCTTGACGTCGATCGTTATCACGGCGCAATATCGATCTCCTCTCAGCTTCTGTTTGGACGCCATCTTAGCTCTTTCGACCACTGTCCGAATTGCATCCACCGTTGATCTCCCTTTCCGGAATCTAAGCTGCGTCGCTGACAGTCAGTGCTCATTCTCCTTGCATTTCGTCAGCCTGTTTAGGATGATCCTCTCCAAGAGTTTTCCGAGTGTATTCAGCCTGTACGATGCTGGATCCCCCGGTGGTTTTCCTGGTTTCTGCAGCATCATCCTGAACATGTCCGTGTCGTGTCACATGCTCTTACTAACGTTTCTGTCACCTGTCCGTGTTCAGATCTTCGGGGACCCTGTCCACACGGAGTGCTTCAATGAAAAGATCCTTCGTCTTCCACTTCCGGTCGCAAGTTCTCGTCCTCCGTACTGCCACAGTATTTCGTTGGCCGATGCCATATCGGATCTCCTGATGGTCGCTATGGGTATATTCAACACACTCTCCAATTCATGTTTGCCACCAGCGACGGACTGCAGAAAGTAACATCTCTGCGAAAAGTGCTGCTGGTGCCTTCGTTGCACAGCATAACTTCTAGTTTTGCCAGAGCTTCCAGCAGACTGTGCCCTCTTGTATTGGAACATCTGCTTCTCCACTCCACTGTCCAAGCATTGAAGTTTCCTCCGATGACTACATGTCGTCGTCCGATCAGCTCTTCGGTAAGTCCACCCAGCATCTCATGGAACTGCTCCATCGTCTATCTGGGGGGTGCGTAACAACTACATATGAAGATTCCGTTGATTTTGGCAATCACGAAACCTTCGTATGAGCTCGCATCCACTTCTTGAATGGGATACCTGCCCATAACCTGTTTAGCCACCATTCTAGCTCAATCCGCCACCCAGTTACCGTTATCGGGAGGGACTCGATACGGTTCCACAATGATTGCAACGTCGCACTTTGTTTCTGTTGTCGACTGCCACAACTGCCAGTTGCGGTGCAGTGTTCCAATGATTGAGGTTTATTTGGGTTACCGCCATTACTGTTGGCCGGTCATCGCCTTTTTGTATGCTAGGCATTTGAAGCTTCCCGTCGTTTGATCGTTTCCGTCCTCTTTTTTGCAGAGCATACACCTCGGTTGCTTCGTGCAGCCTCTTGCAATATGACCTTTTTCTCCGCATTTCCTGCACAGATCAGATCTGTCAGGGCCATTGCAGTTCCTCGCCTGGTGACCGGAACCCATGCACATGAAGCATCGCTCCAGTTGCTTGGTAACCCGAGGAGTGGCTTTCAGCGAGCACACTGACCAGCCAACCTTGACGTTGCCCGTCTCCAACTGTCCTAAACTATCTGCCCTACTGCCCTAAAAATCTTTAAACTTCTCTGAAAATCTCTGAGCTTCTGTGAAATTCCCACAATATGTCTCTACCCAAGTAACAATTTTGGTTTAATGAGGGTTCTGTAAACCATGATTTAGACATGTAGAATGCTTTAAAACCTCGAAAAAACATACAATGATACTTGAGGAGTTATCTAAAATTTTCAGCAGTTCTCCGGACGTCCATGAAATTCCTGGAACTTCCTACAGTTTCTCAAAATTTTGCTGACGTTCATGGTCCTATCCTGAATTAATTTCATCTAACGTTCACAGATGCCTAAGCTTGCCCGGAAGCTTGGACGTCGCTGAAGTTATTGTGACAATCTTAAGATCTCTGAGCTTCCCTAATAATTTTTAGTCCTATCTTTCTTGAGGTTCTTGGGAATTCTTTAAAGTTTCTTGAAATTTCGGAAGCTCTCTGCATATTCCTGAAGTTCCAAGAACTTCTTAAATTATCTGCATTTTCACTGAAGCTGTTGGGGCCACATTGAAGTTCTAGAAACTCCCCTGAACTGCCCGAAATTTTACAAAATATTCCTTACTCGGTAGTTCATTTCATTCCTCAGAACTTGTGATGACTGCGTTGAAGTTCTCGTTATTCTTCTGATGATGTTCTTATTCATATTTTCTACAGTACCGTGTCTTTTTTTCCTACTGTGAAGTTTCCGATATTGCTATGAATATTCTCTAGACGTTACCCTGATTCTAAAAAAAAACGTTTATATGGGGTTTTGATAGAATTTACAACTTTTTTTCAAACCGGAAGCCGCCATCATGGATTTCAAAATGGCGTCGGATATTGATTTCAAATCTCAAGACGGCACCCCGATTCCAATAATACCCATATTGATGAATGAATTTCAAAATGGCGTCGGATATGAATTTCCAGCCTCTAGAAGCCATCCTGATTCCAAAAATACCTATATTTCTCATTTGTTCTGAAATCGGAAATCGCCATCTTGGATTTCTAAATGGCATCGCATATCAATTTTCGATCTGTAGACTTCATACCAATATTGATGCGTATTTGACTGTATTTCCACTTTTTCGATCTCTAGGCTTCACCCCGATTAAAAAAAATACCCATATTGATGAGTAAACAAACCACCCGACAATGACAAATTTAACATCCACGTGTACAGATCTATGCACATAATCAACAAAAGTCATAAAACTTGCGCGAATTTGGATCGAACAGCTTCGCTTCAATGCAAAAAAAAGTTCATTTGACAATGAAGGAAGAAATGAACACGAGTCAAGCCAAAACAAACAGCATGAAAACTGATCGAAAATGGTTCTGCTGATGTTGATAGGGATCTGCTCGAAGAGAAGACAAAATGACTTTCAATTGAAAGTGATGGTTGACAGCTTCATCGTCACTTGACGATTTTCGATTGAAAGTGACTTTGTGGGGCCCTGGTTTCAACACTCCGAAGGGTATAAATAGTGGGAACTTTCGATTAGAGTCGGATGCAAGAATGACAACTGTAAAAAAATCGAATACTTCACCATTTCTCAATAGTGATGGAGTAATACGACATGCACTAAACTAAGGACACGGGATATACTACAAGATATCAAATTACTGGTCGCAGTGGTCTTAGGTTACTAACTTACGGCAACTTCATTGCAGAGAGCTCATCCACCGGGACATCAAGCTGGACAATGTCCTTGTCTTCCGGTCAGACTTTGCCCGCATCAAGCTGTGTGACTTTGGTGAATCACGCCGCATCGGGGAGGAAGTGCTCCGCCGGAACGAGTGGCTCCCGTATAGCCCACCGGAGGTGCTGACGGTGAAAACCGATGATAAATACAAGTAAGCTGTAGTTCTCTAGTATGCATTCTAGAAAATATAATCAAACTTGAGCCATTCCAGGACTGATACCGCACACGACGTTTGGCAATTTGGTATTGTATGTTTCGTATGCTTGACGGGATGTCTACCGTGGCAAAAGGCCTCCGTAGATGATCCCCGGTTCAACAGGTTCGTCACATCTCATAAACCTCCCGAAGTTGTTTAGAACTCATGTCATTTCTCCCTTTGTAGATTTCAACTGTGGCACAACGCAACGCTCACATTTCCAATGAAGCGCTGTCCGAAGCTGTTCAAGCTGCTTTCGGCGAGGGCGTGCAAAATTTTCAAAAAATTCCTCGATCCCCGACCGGACCGAAGACTGAAGACCTTGAGTGACGTGCAGAAGTATCTGGACGACCGATGGCTTGCCAAGAGTGCCGAGAAGGAAATGGCCGCGAACGAACCGGACGAACTGTGCCCCTCGATGTATTCCTTCCACAGCAGCGTGGATGAGAAGAATCGCCTCCTCTCGACGTTGGCTCAGTGCGGCATCGAGACGACGGTCGATCGAGCGGCGAAAAAGAACCGCATTCGAGACTGGATCCAATCGTCGGTGATCATGGAGGAAGAGGAAGAGGACGATTCAGGATCCGCAACACCAACGTCGACGGCGTCCCGGACGGCAGTTCCTGGACATGTCTCGTCGGTAGCGGCCATGGAGTTGGAAGAGAAGAAGATCAATTCAACGGTTAAGGATGCGTCGCAGAAGCACTTCGATCCCCGAACTGGTACCGTTCAGCTGAGTCCTAGCGAGATGGGCTCCAGGAGCGCCAACAAAATGGAGTATTCCAAAAGCGATAGGAATAATAACCAGAACGCTTCCAATAAAGCCCAAGCAAATGGCAATAAGTTCAATTCAGCACGGTTTTACGACGAATCGGTACCGATCAACCCGTTAACTCCGAACAACAGCGCCTCATCGACGTACGGTTTTATGAAGGCTTTGAACTCGGTAGCGGCCATCACGGTCCCGGAAATCAATGGACGCAACAAGGTTCCAGCTTCCAAGTACCAGGAGTCAGCCGTCCGGGACAGCGGCTATGGAGGTTCCGTCGACAGTCGTCAGAAGATGGCGCAAGGTGGAATGATCAAACGATCGCCGGTGCTTTCCAAACGGTCCGCTATGATCAAGTCCAACAACAAAACCCACGAGGAGGACGAAGAACTGGGAGAGGACCGGGAGTTTTCTAATGACTTCGAAGATCTCGAGTTAGATCGCGGCTCCTACGAGGGGCTCAACAAAACCAACGGGAAGCAAACGGCCAAAGACAGCCCATACGATAGGTTTTTCTTTAGAAGGAAGTGAATCGGTGTACTTTAGTGAAGCATGAATTTTTACAGTTACTCGCGCGCACCGTTTGAATGCACCTCGTTGTTTTTTTTTAATATACAAAAGAAGACATTTTTACAGTAGTGTTGTCGTGTTTTGTCCAATTTGTCGCACTGATGATGTTCGCGTTACGAGCACACTGTAGCACAGAATTTGTACTGACTTATTTAAATTGTAGATAGATTTATACACCGATTTGAGCTAAGGCGAGTAGAACCAGTTCTTCAAAGCGAGTTTTCTTCGTTTTCGGAAACGGATTTATTTAGATAGGTAAACATGTGAATCAGCCCAAGAGGCCGGCGAAATTAGTAGATAAGCAATATGACCAAATCGGATTTTGACTATCTGTGTCAGGCTGCTGAATATGTAAACTGTACTACACCACTTGAATTAAGTGATAACAATAAATCAACTGGACAGAAGAAGACTACATCTGTTGAGTGTATTTGTCAACCGAAATGCTGGGAAGTTCAAATAAGATTACGTTTTGTGGTCTGGATGGATAGCTTATCTCCCAAATGCGGTTGACTCTATCTCCAGGGCCTCCAGTCGCCATCAGGCTGAACTATCTTCATCACTCAAGAGAAATTTTATATTAGAAAAAAAAACAGCTATAGGGTGGGTGAGCCAGTAGGGGAGGAACTAATTCGACTTATTTATTAAAAATATAATATAATTTGTATACGTTAATTTATACCTTTTAATCTTTATTTTGCTAGATTAAACTGTATACAGGTTTTGAAGAGACGTCCTCTATTAAAAGGAACACTATTCCAGTAGTTGTTGTAGTAGCTAATTTTGGTTCCTATAATAGTGGAACGCATAAGTTTATAATTGATTTCACAACACTACCGTAACGGTAGGTGTAAAAGAGTCAAAATCTTCAAACAAAAATTAATTGTTTTTCGTCATTGTTTTTCCTTAATTTATTTTCCGTCGATCTTGTTTTCCGTGCTAAGTACCAATGATACCGACGCCAGGGAGGCAGTTCCCACACCTGGACCCTACCCTATCGACCCATCAACTCATGAACCGGGGACCAACGGCTTTACTTCCCGTGATCAGAGATGTTATGCCTCGGAACTTCCCGGCAGCGCCGACTGGGATTGAACCCAGGCCTGCTGGGGTGAGAGGCAATCACGCTTACCACTACATCACCGGTACCGCTAAACCATGTTTACTCCTTTGTAATCAAAACGTCGGTATTTTATATGAGAAAAACAGAGCCGTACTCAGGATTATTGTTTACGTGGTGAAGTTTTGCGTCCCTTCCCTGGCTATTTTACTTCTGCGATGAACTCATCACATTCCAGAAGGGTAGCGTAAAGGAGAAAGACAAATCACAACAAATTCTCACTATTATACTTGTTTTCTCTGACTTGAAGTGGGATTAATCCAGCCCAGAGATACCAGGTGTATTTAGAAAAAAAAACTTCAAAGAAATCAACGAGATGTCTTCACCGATACTTTTGAAATTTTTGGGCGGGGGAAGGCGCTCAATATTTCAAATTTATAAAACTGAGTCTTCCCATAAGCTCGGGATTATTCTTAGAAGTAAGTAGAAATTCGTAAGAAATAAGAGGACTTCCTAGAAGCTCTGAGCACTTCTTAATTCATAGATTTTCAACAAACATCGTGAAACTTGCGTGATAATATTTGCACCATCGTTCAAATAAGGTTCCCGTTTCACCTGTGCATACAATGTCTTGGTTTTCTTGGCATGCACGTAACCTATAGTTCATATCGTAGTAGGCTGTGTATAAAAGAAATTATTTACTTAGTTTGACAGTTGCACCATGACGAAGTGGCAGCGTATTCGTGATTTGTCCCACGCGCAAATGTCGCAAAAAGACATTTCAATCGACGTGGGAATGTCCCTGTGGACCGTCAAAAGGGTTTTACATCGAGAAAAGAAAGGACAACTATTCGCGAAGGTGGCCACAGATAGTCCGAGGGTAATCGCTGCTTTCAAAAGGAAGATTTGGGTGAATTCAGTGCGTTCCAGGGGGAACGACACTTCAGGATTATCCCATTTTTACCCAAATCACTCCAAAAAATTTTCAACGTGCGCAAAATTTCAATCCATCCTATCTATTCTTTCTATTCCCAACTTATCCCTTCTGCATGCACACAAATCATCAAGCAAGCCGTGCAGTTTTCAGGTCGACCGCGAAGCACTGTCAGTTTTAAACGATTTGTTAGCTGACATTTCAGCAAAATATAATTGTTATCTGAGTCTGGGCAATTGTTTTACTGAATCTCAGCAAAATTTATTGCAGAACTGCTTGGCTGTTGGAATCTCGGCGAAAAAAATTAAGTTGGATTTATATGTATACATACCACAGTTTAACCTAAAACTAATGTTGAATCTTCATATCATTGGTGAAGTACAAAAAAAAATAAATAAGTATTATGTAGATCAGTTGATTGAAGGAAAGTATAAGAAGTTGAATAAATAAAAGAAAGTGTTCGCTTTGTAGGGTCATCTTATGATATTAAACAAAATATGTATAGTCTTTATCAAATCTAAAATAACAAAATAAAAATAAAACTAATATAGGAAAAAATCTCACTTAAAACCAATTTAAATAAAAAAGGAACAAAATTTAAAACAAAATATTAACACGCTGAACGTAATACTAATTTAGAAATAAGGAAACATAACATCAAACATAATTACAAAATAAAGACACATTTCATTCAACTTTTTTACTCTCATGCTCATTATTTACATTTAATACATTTACATAATTATTTACATTTCATATTTCTTATATACGATGCTGTTTCATCGATGTAGTAGAATAACGCCAACTTGACCGAAGGAATTTTCAAATGTGATACGTAGTATTCAATATCTATTATCTGACTATTAGTTTCCCACTCTAAGATGTAGTTGATTCCGATACCTTTGGGTTGTACATCTTTTGGAGGTACTACAGGCACAGATACCAGTGCACATGTAGTATTTTTACTTTTCAAGAACTTGAAGGCAAAAACTTTACATACATATAAGCAGTTCCCGCATAAACACAAAGCATAATAGAAGGATATGCATTGCCGTTTTAAACGATTTACTATGATTACACTACGTCAACCAGAATCATCCGAAAAACGATAAACGTCTCATGCCATAGATAGTTTTCATGATTCAGTATATAGTAACTGGCAAATGTACCATATGGGGAAAGGGCGGTTAAGTATAGTTACTATACGAAAACGACGATTTTCGGCAACAAGTTTTTGGCAAAATAGCAAGGGGAATGGTTACATTTTCATCCTTTAAACCTAAGGAAAAAGGCATGCCTTGTCATTTGCGAACAATTGGATGATAAGAATAAAATTGACCGTCGTATTGTGTATCTATCATTGCTCAATCATAATATTATAAATTGATCTACTTTACTTTCAAGTAAGTTAAAAGCCATTCAAAAATTTAATTTCAATGTATTTTTATTCACTGAACTGTTGATTTCTACTTACTTTTGATTTTCATTTTGGATTTATTAGATCCGGCTCCATTTTGTGTTCATTAATCCGTAGCCTCTCAGGGCAGTGAAGAGGTATTGGTCATCCGGTCCGGAATGATGTTTGAGATTACGCGCACCACCGTTGAAAAAGGATGGGTGGTGAGGCTGGCTAAGAAAACCGTGTCGATTTTATTTCTTGACCGTAGATATTTTTTTTTTTGTTTACGTCACTGTTCCGATACCGAAGACTGGATGTGATTCCGGAATGAATTTGGGTTGTGATTCCGGACGAATACACGTGAAAATTGGATCCGAGAGTCATAGAAAATATTGCAGCTTGGGAGAAATCAAACTAGCGTTGTATTTATTGGGCATACATTTTCAAACCAGCAACTGGATACAGTTCCGGGCTGAATTGAGATGTTATAAACGACACTAGAATTAAACGGTCATAAAACGCGCTGCTTGCAAATGATCATTTTTCTATGAATCACATTCACGGTGTATACTATACCTATAAATACTTTCTGGGCGCAACAAGAAGGGTGTGAATTTGATTCCTTTCGTACTGCGATGTGCTTGCTGAGCTCCATGATCCAATTTCTTTACGGATTCGTCCGGAGTCGTTGTCACGGTTCAGATGTGAATCGTTTCCTGTTTGCGTTTCGTTCCTCGGAATTATGGTCCGGTTTTGCTCCGCTGGACTGGCTGTCCTTCGTTGGTGGTGTGCGGGAGTGTTCGAAAAAGAACTTGGAGGATCGTCATCGTTTCGCTGATCTGGGAGTGTGGTTATTGTTTTGGGTAAGGTTGTCCGGTCTACTATTTAAGATCAGTGCACCAACGGGGATGAGGTAAAATTTGGCTGTGCTTTGACAGCGGAAGACTATTTTATTAGTGTATGCCAGGGCTTGTTGTCCCCTGGTAGTCTAAACCTTCTGATCAAGCATCTGAAAGATTTTTTGTGGAAAGCTTAATTTCATTTTCATTTTTCATTTTATGATGTACAAGGGGGTCAGGGGCCATGTCACCGATGTGAATATTCACACCATCCATAATACACCAGGGAAGGGGAGAGGAGTGAGCAACACAGCATCTTTACCCATGGGGGTTAAAAAAGTTCTGCGAGGTATACTTATGGTAAACCAGCTGCTCAGGGATTGTAGAAAGGAAAGGGTTGGGTAGGTTTTGTATGAAAAGCGAATAAGTTATTATCGTATCGTTGAAAAATGACCTCGATTACATCACACCGTCAATGAAAAAGAAATTAAAAGAGATCGAAAGAGATTATTAGTGAGTTTTAGACTGTTACCTATTAGAGATACATTTGTAAAATTATCTCCCTGTACTGAACAGCCATCTCTCTCGTCCTCCCGCCGGCCGCCTAAACGTCTGAAGGAGTGTGACGTCAAACTCCGTCATCCTTTCAATCAGCCGGAGAACGAAACCCAACAAACAATTTGTGCTGATTAAAGGCAGATTAAGCAATTTTTTAGCTGAAGAAGCATATTATTGCCTGAATAAGCTCTTATTCTGCTTGCAATGTTTGTTGGGAAGAGCGTGCAATGAGCGTCAGCGACCCTAATAAAAAGTGGGGGGAACACCATACATGAACGATACCACAAATCGTGCCACCATACCACATATTGTTGGGATGATAACTGGAATAGGTTGTTAGGCACTCCTTATGGTTATCGTTCATGCGGGTGTTTCAAAGAAATGTACATCTTATCAACCCTCTGTGCCAGGCATGGAAAATCATTTACATTCATTTCATACATTCATTTACATTCATTTGCTTCTAACTTTTTGCATCAACAGTATTCCGCAAAACGATGCATACAGCTTTTGTAGGTTTTGTTATTAGCTACAACTTTGCTCATAACTCAAATCTGTATCTCTTATGCATCAAGAACTAGAGCGGGCAGAACTTATCACTGTTTTTCAGTGAATGTAAA